GTTGAAAGAGATAAACATTTAGTTTCTTTTACTTTTTTGTTCGGTCTTTCGATTAAACTTGCAGTTGTTTAAGTGAGACTTGGATATAGAACGCGAAAAAAATAACAAATATACCATTTTATATCCGAAACAATAGTGTTACACAAGAAAAAGTAGAAAAAAAACTTTTCTGGTTATCTCATTGTCCCCCTCCTCGACAGGATGCGCTGTGGCTCACGCTCCCCAAGTACTGGTACGCTGGTTCTGAAATTCAGATTGATCCAAAAAAAGGGTCGACCGAGTGTGTTTCCAAAGAGCCAACTGTACATAAGAGCAAGGAGAATGTACAATAATAAATCTGTAGCGGTCAACGGGATCCGGACCTTCCGTTTCCGGTGTGACCGAAACTCGGGAAAGAGGACAAGGAATCGAAAGTATTAAAAAAAATGTATATATATATATATAATACAATAAAGTTTTTAACGCAAGAACTTTTATCGCAAATGGCGTTTATTTTACGACCCACAGACTTATCATGCGCGTGAATAGGGAACCCAAACATCTATCGTCCCGTCCTTTTAAAGCGTTCTATGCCACAGGAAGTCCGGATTGACTGATTTTGGCCTTAAACCAAATGCTCGATATGACTCATTCTTTCCATTTTTAATAAGTTCAGAAGAGATTTTATGTTTATTTTAGTTAGTCTGTCGTCGAATCTTTGTTTATTAATTAATACATTGGTGTACAAAACCTCTGTGATCAAATTTAATAATACTATTTAATCCAGACATTAAGCATGATATAATTTGTATAGGTTTTCATATTATTATAGAAATAATAAAATATTTAGGCTTAAGTTTTTAATTTCAATTTAATATCATTCAATTAATTCCATTTAATAATAATAACATATTATTATATTGATGAAATTATTTTTGAAATATAAATCGTTTACGGATTAAATATACCTAATGTAATTAACCCGATACTTTAGTGTTTTACTGGCCACCGGATATTAAATATCCTAAGCTCCGAGAGAATATAAGAACACTTTTAGCGTAAATACCGAGTACACGGGGCAGCGACCCAATCGTGTCTGTCAAAATCTGTCAGATCATAATGTGCAGTTTCCCAGGCTAAGGCAACGGCCGGTTTGTGCAATACTTTGTCAGGCTCGTGTATTATCTTAATCGCATGAAATTGAGCCGACCGGAATGAAACCCGAAGAGAAAACGGAGAAAATACCCCTTTTTTGGAACAGCGATATGAGGGGGGAGGGGAGAGGAATAGGTTAAAACAAAGAGCACAGTGGAAATAAACCAAGCTATAAAAACCTCGATGTGTTTACTTGAATGGCCATTAATATTATCTCAAATGCTACTAAAATTCTCAAAAGTCGTAACATTAAAAATAAGGACAACACACAAATAACTATCTATTTTATGGTCTGCATTAAAGAATAATAAGGTCCTAAATTCGTACAATTTTTCTAGCAATATTATATAATACGCGTCGTTATTGGGCATTATGGTGTGCAAAAAGAAAAAATATAGAATCGATTGGACGATCGATTATTAATGGACATTTTCGTCGATCATTTTAATCCGTGATATGTAAATTTTACCATTACGACAATGCCCATTACAAAGTCATACAGTATTAATCACGAGGAATTAATTAATTATTAATATTATTATTTAACAATTACGCAAAACCGTGTTTGTTATGGACTTTTAATTGGAAGTTCTAATTATTACACCACCGTATACAAAGCGAACGAGCATTCATAAATTCTAGTGTCAATTAATGTTATGTAAACACTGTTTACTTGTCATTTGGACAAAAACCAAGTCACGCGATCACAAATTAGACACAAGTGTCGAAGAGGCTTGAGATCTGAACAGGTGAATGAATATCTAGGGCTAACATCTCGACTGTCTTGATTACTCATTGTATATCACAGTAGCCGGAAGACTGAATAAAAAACGATTGACTGATTCGCGTGTAAAAAATGAATAATATTATTATCCACGACGATAAAAAATATACGTTCAAGTCCACGGTTCGGAGGAAATTCATTAGCATATTTATTATAACAGCAGTATCCTATAGGTATGTATACAAACATTTAAAATTAAATTATGTAATATCTGATTTGTTGGTGTAGTGTTCTAGACTGCATAGCATTATAATGTCGAACAAATCGTGTCCCGACCACATTATCGTAACTTAACGTTTCGCCCGACATATACTCATTAATCCCTTCGCACATTTATAATATATATATATTATACAAAGGGTAAATGGATAATTGATGAACGTTTGGCTATATTTTTACTATAGTGAGGACTACATTCCAGTTTAAAATATTGCGTTATAAGGAAATTTCTAACGGAGGCGGCAAGTATTTCTCCGGTAAATGGCCAAAAGATAAAATATCAGTAAGTACCCAATCATTCCACAACATTGTTCGAACCATCCGCATGCCTTTATTTAGAGCTGCATGGTATTATTATACGAAAAAGAATAATAATTTTTTTTTTTTTTTATACGGAACGCTTATACAGACGTACAGTAAAAAAGTGGCACGTAAGTATAATATAGGTAATATGTAAATTTTCTTGCACGGTAAATCGTTTGAATTTTTAGCATAAGTGATTTTTTTTATATATATATATATAAATTTTACCGAGATTGCCTCTTTTTTATATTTAATCACGAAGCGCTCTATCGGTTATGTCACATAATACTATACATTTAGGGACACCGAAGTTGTTATTATTATTATCATTATCTTTTTTTTTTTTATGTACTTTGCATAAAAACGGACTATGCGGAGTTATAGTGCGTATAGAAATATAATACACTACACGTCTACACATATTATATTATTATGTTATGTATACATGCACCTCCGTTGGATTACCGCTACCGTCACCTTCTGCACTGCCTAGTGCTAATACCATACTACTTATGCGTGTATATAGCGACTTACTTTATCGACATAAATAATTATTAAAAACGTTCTCGGCATATGCAATATAATATTATAATATGCGAGCGCGGGCAGATCGATTTTCTTCGGTAATGAGATGCTTTGTAGGGGTTTTTCTTTATCGCGCGACTTTATACTGCAGATGGGTTGGGGTGGCGCGGGTGCACCACGGTGAGCTGTCGTATACATTGTTAAAAATGCTAATGGCACATTTAGCCTTTGGCGACCTTTTCGTGTTGACATTTTTATTGCACGTCCGGGTTGTGCTTAAAAAACAAAAAAATAAACAAAACAGAAAAGAGGATTGGTGAGGTTAAAATATACGATAAACGAGTAAACGGCAAACGTTTATTTCGCTTCTTCTGTTTCCGCGTCATCGCCGGTGACCGGTGCTCCGGATAAGAGGGGGATTTTCGACGGTGGCCTCCTCCCCGCAAAAAGGAAACGCGAAATTATTATCGAAACGGAAACTGCGTGGCGCGTGCTAGGAAACCAATGACCCTGAGGTATAATCCGGTGCGCACACGCTCACACACACGCACATATATAATAATATATTGTACAATATTATATACGACGACAAACGGCGGAGGTGGCGTCGGCGGCGGTGGCGGGTTAGTAAAGTCGTAACAGATGTCCTACTCCACCCCCCTTCGGACTCCGTACAGCCACTGCCACGACTGTACGACGTAGGAGCACACCGGGAATAATATTTCAGTTTCCTGCGGTAACGTCACGTATCGTTAAGCAAACGCGCGAGAGACTGCAGCGTTCGTATCCGTGCGATCCAATAGGGAATTCAGATTATTGAAATTTTCGCTTTGGACAAAATAAAAATGAAAGACAAGAACAAACACGGACGTGCGCATAAAATGGATTTTTTTTTCTTGAAATTACATCCAGCTGTTTTTTTTTGGGGGGGGGGATTTTATGGTGACGGCGCAGTGGTAAGGTATAGCATCGCATTATCCGTGTGTATATAATATATAAACGAGAATAATAATATATTTTCATATGATATAATATATAGTCAGGTACGCTTATGACGTAGAAAACAGAAATCGTATAAGAAAATATATTGAATCCGACCCGCACGTGCTATGTCGAATAATCAAATTATACGACAACCCGTATTGCATATTATTATTATTATTATTATTATCATTATTCGCTGACGACGATAATCGTCCGACACGAAACGGATTTTAAAAGAGTTCAACGAATGTAATGAATTACTGCCATTCTATTCATTCATGAATGATGTTCAAAAAATAGAAAAACGAAGGCACAACTGCAATTACTCATATTGCCGGTACGAAATGCATAGGTAGGTACACGAACTATTATTGTTATACGCATATTATATTATTATTAATTTATATAATTTTATGAGCTGTGGCGTGATACGTACATGACGTCATCGCGCGAAATGACAAATAAATTAATAAATCAAACCTAATATTTTATTCATAACGCGTAGTGCAATTTCCAAAGAAAATAAATGTTAAAAACGAGAATTAATGTGGTAACAAAAAAAAAATTTATATGTATTTTATTCGATGGCAGAGCGCACGCATTTTTATTACATACACCGACAACACTTTACTGTAATATGAAATTATGTGCGAGATGTATGTGTGACTTTTACTAATATTTGGGCAATATATAATGATATAACGTAGTAATTGTGTTTTTGTGACGTGGCCATAAAGCTTATAAATACAAACGGGAAACTCAACAATGTAATGTAGGTACCTACCTAACATTACTTTGACATTATATATAGTTTTGAATTAAAAATTAAAAAAGAGTACTATTTAATATTATGGACTTGTTGAGCGGAATTTCATGAAGTGAAAAAAAAATATATTTTTTCCTACGACGACACAAAGTCTTGTATACACTTTACATTATATGTATATATATATGAATATATATACCTGCTACTTGAAAAAAATGGCTGGTCAATGACGTTCGGGGGTGAAAAATAGGAGAAACGCGTGTGAGAATGACAAATGAAACTTACATGGCACCGACGTATAATGTGTCACGATTTTCATCCAAGTGAAAAGTCCTGTAGTACATTCGGCCGCAGGACAACTCTCGCACGTGATCTGTAACAGACAAACAAACGACCGTAAATTTATGCCCACACTGATGAGGAGATTAAGGCACGTTCTTCTCCGAGGTGGCCCAGGAGAATTACATTAATATATATATATATAGGTAGGTACAGCAACACAATTACATTAGGTATTGCGTTCTTAAATGTTAAACAACCGTCTTATATATATATATGTGGTGTTAAACAAAAATAATTTGTCGTGTTATGCAAATCGTAGATCAACGTTGGCTTTAATTTATTTATCTTTCAATTGTTTTAATTTATTTGTATTTCAATTGTTCATTAAAAAAAGCGTCGACAAAAACGTTTTTGCATAAAGAAATATTAATTGTTTCATTATAAATTTAATATCCATTAACAACGCGTTTAATAATTTGTTATCCACTATGCAGAGATAATCTCGATGGTAAATTTTCAATAAAAAAAACTAAAAATCATTACAGTGTTAGAGATTTATTAGAACTGCAGAAGTCTCTAATTTTTAATGAATTTTAGACCTTAATGTCTAAGAAAATGTTGTAATAATAGTAAATTATAATGGTTGAACATTACTCATCTAAACCTAAAAATAATGTAAAGTAACGCCTGTAAAATATAATATAATATACTTGCTATCGATAATAAATTGTTACGTATATACACCATACATTCAACACAATTAACAACCAGAGAGTTTCGGTGTTTTCAAATTGATTTATGTTTAATTTTAATTGTCGTTTTTACGGAAACTGTTATCAACAAAAACGTTCGTCGGCTTGCGTTTTCCAAAACTTTTCCGTGGCGCGTGTTGCACTTTTTCGGAAAACAATCGTATCAAAACAGGATACTGGGAGATTTCATGTGAGCGGCGCGAACGGAAACATCGCCGCGTGATGATTATTGAATGAAACGTACGTTTTCAAAGGGTTATGGCTATAACGCTCCTGCTTAGGGCATCGGACCCGGGGAGATTTTTTTTGTTTGTTTTCGTAGGTTACACGTGGTGTAAATTATTAGCGGCTGCGTATTCAGACCCCAGCCGGAAACAAACTTTGGTCGTGCGAAGCGCAACGGCCCGAACTCGAACGATAAAAACTTGTTCCCGTTCCACCAAAAAGTTTAAAATTTACTGTACGGATGTACGCGCGCGCGCACACACACACACACACACACACGCACATGCACACACACACACACACACACACGCACATGCACTAAGTGTACAGAGTGTATTATACGTATATATACAGTGCGTATATACACAGTGCGAGCCTGCAGTGATCATTAGTTTGAATAAACAAGATTAAAAAAAAAAAAAACACGTTTCATCGGACTGTATAGGTACACGATCGAAAAGAACGAGGAAAGAAATTAAACGCACACACGAACGAATTTTCACGGTTTAAATTGGTTTCGTCGATTAATTTATGATTGAGAAGGTTCTCGGAAAGTTCTCCCTTACCCGCGTTAAATTAGTGCCGAACATGTCTGAATATATTAAAGAAGGTTAGGCCGTGCGGAGGAGGGTACGTAACGGTCCCCGGGGCGCAGTAACGCCTTCAATTATTATTATTATTATTATTATTATGCGTGCACGCCTAACTCCGACGCAAGACGTCCCAAACGTATGTCGCAAAAATACAAAGAGAAGGAAACACACAAAAAAATAGCAAACAATAACGATTTATCATACGCGAGTGTGCACCTCGTTATTATTATAGTGTGCTTGGCAACACCCGGTAAAATATCGAAGGGTAATCATATAATACATTTCCAAATGCGGTTTTAGCCGTCTGTTTAAGCGGTATAATATTTTATTTTCAATTTCGTGGAATATTGAATAAGTTTTATGACTAGCCCGGGCATACGCAAGTACAATAGTATACGATATAACAATAATTATGTGGTCCACATAGTATACGTAAACAAACTACTATACTATAGGGTACCAAATATTATTCTCGAAACGTTATATTATATAGTTGCAGAGTGATCGAGTTTAGAGATGAAGCTGTTTCGTAATTATTCCACAATTAATGTTTCACGTCGATTAAAATGCCGTTAGAGCGATATATTTAGTTACCAAAATTATAATACTGCACTGTAAAAATAGATGTACCGGCACGTTCTACGAATTATCATAGGTGTGAATATTAACTACGATTATAATATCATTCTACCACAATATCGAACCTATAATACGCGCAAATTATTGTTTATCTACTTATGTGACCCAGGTGGCTATATATAAACACTATGTGACGACTAGTTATCATGTCATTTATTATACCCTATGCATTCAAAAATCGTAGGTGTTAAAAATTGTTTTYGTTCAAAATGTTTTTTATAAAATAACTATTTTAATTTTGAACCTAGATACACGTTGCTTTAACGGAATGATTTAAAGCTGCAAAATCAAAAAGCTTAGTCATTGGTTACACACACGAAGTACAACTAACATAAAATATACAATTTATAAGAACGACAACGTTTGGCGGCTCTGTTGGGATAAAAAATATCACACATAATATATCCGATATTATAATTTTCTACGATGGCACATTGCGTTGTACCAGCTGTTGTTGGTTGTTACWAAGTACTAACATAGTGTTTTACGAGAGTAAAGGAATCGTTTGAATTGAATATATTTACTATTTAGCGAACAAGTTATAAAATATAGTTGTACGGTATTAAGCGAATCCAATAGTGTACCTATGATAGACACTTGAGCACATAAATTAAGTACTTATATTTATTAAAGAAAGTGCAAAATGTATTTCAAAGTCAGTCTTATAAAATGTGCATTTATATCCTTAAATAATTCTCTTGAAAAATGGTTTCGTTCAAAAAGTTGTTAGTTAAAGTTTTCRAACAAAAATCCATCAAATTCTATGCGTCAGAAACATTTCTAATTACACGGTTGGGAAAGACCAAGTTCCGTCTTTCGTTTGTACATCACTCACATCAAACACAAATTTAAAACGTAAATAGTTGAACAACTAAAATAGATGGATGTTAAACGGTTATTAAAATAAACAACAAAAACATTGAAAAAAAAACAATGACAAACCCAAACATGCTTATACAGTCACAACAATCTTTCCGTAAAAAAATTACTTTCGATCAAAGTTCGCGTGTAATAGAGATTCACTACTTGTACAACAGTCGATTTAGTTTCTAATACGATAATATTAATGAATAATGTGTATCTATATAGCGTTCTTATTAAGCAGTTAATATGAAGTTGGCGTCGATCATGTTTATATTTCATACCATGTTTTACCTAGGGACCGGTTAGGGTGCCTACCCACGTGGAAAAACCRTCGTGTGCGAATCACAAACAATATTAGGCTACATCCAAGTTCCCTCCCAAGAACCTCTTTTTATACCTACCAATTCCGTCATAGTTAAAAAAAAAAGGTATATACCAGTTCCGTTCCAGTTAAAAAAAAGGTACATACTAATTCCGTCCTTATATGCACTCGGATTCAATAATTAAATACAATGCGTGTCGCCCGAACCAAAAGACACTTTATTGTCATGCGTTAGATCAAGGCAATATTATYGACAAGGTATGCTAATGCTCTCATCATCTTGACTACTTTTAATAATAGTAGGTATATAGACATCGTCGTATGAGTAAGACCCTCACGCTCGCGACGTACGCGTAGAGTCATTCATAAAACGAATTCTGACGACAACGTGTCGAGAGAGCTCAATATTTTGCATGTCATCTTATTTACATCCTAGAAAGTTTTCCATTTCCCAACGTACACTCGATCGCCCTGCAACATGACGAACGGTGTTCGGTAGGAGGGGGGAGGGGTGAAAATAACGCTCTATTGAATGTTGTTCTTTATTTCTTTTTCCACCACGGACATTTCTTTCTTTTTACATTCCACATTCAGCACCCTCTTCCATCCCTCACGCGCATGTCAATGTTTTAAGATATTGAGTTGAAGTATAGACGAAAAAGTGTATGTGTGTATATGTGTGTGTGTGACGACGTGAGGCAATTTAAAAGGCCAGAGGTGGTCTTAGCGGGAAACCGAACAAATGACAAAATATGTTTGTTCATAGATTTTTTTTTTTGTCACCCCAATCACTGATGATGAACTTCTTTTTACGTACATTTTCGTTGTTAAACATTTTCCGAAAATCGTTCGATTCAATCAAGTAATAGTCCGTGTGGTTCGAAGATGGAATAACATGTCGGAAGATATGAGTGTATGTACGACGGCAGTTCTAACCAATCAATACTTTTTGTGCGTGCCGTTCAGTTAGGTTATCTTTTGTAACCGAATAAAAATGCCGGGTTTAAAACCCTACACCCGGGGGAGGTTGATCTTCAACGACATCAATCGTTACGACGTCAAAAACGTTATGAAAGGGGATGAGAAAAAGTAGGAGCGAATAAAAGTTTTTGAAAGACGTGACTTACGCTGAGGTATTTTAAATTGACAAAATCCATATGTCCGTGCGATCCGATAATATTTTGTTATTAATAATTTTATAGAAGTTACATAATTCGCGTGAACTCTGAGTTATTTTCGAAATTGAATCAACGACTAAAGGCACGAAAAAAGAAATAAAACTTTAAAAAAATTCTTCTTTATTGTAAAACGCGTGTTAAATCCTGTCACGAACCACAGAATTAAATTAATAATATACAATTGAGACTTTAAACACGTTTAGGAATTAGCACATTTCACAAGAATAGAACAAATGTTTGGATTGAATGGCGTTCAAAATTCGCAACTTCATAATATAGTCGAGTTTAAGTACTCATCACCGCCATTTAATTCAGTTTTAAGTGAAGTGTGGGATGTTCAAAGGAAATAAGTGAACATTTATAATTCTAACCAGACTGGAAAAGTGTTATTAATTATTGTTTTATGTGTGCCTATTTGTACATTTTAGTATTTTCCGACTGTTAATATTATAGCTAGAGATTTTCAAATTTATTACGATATAGTTCAGTCAAAAACTCATACGCATACGGCTTTTGTT